GCATTTTGCACTCTGAAGGTGCAAAGCACATGCCATACCTGGATACCTCGATCGCCAAACGGTTCAAAGCGTCTTGGACTGCCTGTGTGTTTTCACCTGACAAGGGGATGTCATCGGCATATTCTAAGTCAAGAACTCTGTGTGACATTCTGTTTATGTTTAATTGTTACGTTGCTACTATTGATCGTTGTCAGTAGTCAGACTCTATTCGGACAGTCTTCCCTGTTTCCTGCTTTCCCATTGGTTGACCGCAATTTGCGTCTTGGCGGCCGGCCATCTTGTTCTGCTTACTGTTTATTCTGACCACCACACATTGATGCTGCTTGTTGGACTGGTGCTGGTCAAATTACTTCAAATGTACGTCTCCTTTCAATTTCGACCTTCTTATTTACCATACCGTGTGTTAACGTATTGTTTTATCATTACAGAACCACCAAAGACGAGAATCCGAGACGTTCTGACTACCTTCTGATATTGATATTGACTTCGGGGTGCGTATATTCGACCAAAGACTAGCGAAATACCGTACATACGAATCACGTATCAACACTCTGTTCCCTGGGAGGAGTTCGACTCCGACGTTTGCTAGACTGGACAAAGTGTTCTGTAGAACATCCTCTATGACAAAGATGAAAACGAATGGAGATATAGGGCAACCTTGTCGAACTCCACTCGAGACGGCGAAGGGTGGCGGAAGCTGTTCGCCATACAACAGTGTTTAATAATTGTAACAATACATATATATTGTAATAAATGGTATGTGAATGAACGGATAAAATTTCCTTAGGGATCACACGACCGGTTTTGCGATGGTCGTCAGTGCTACGAATTAATTGTGCATAGTGGCCAGCTAACCAGACAACTTTTGTGTGATAAACCGGTAGGAGGGTTAAACTCGTATGTCACGAAAATCACATCACCACAAGCGGTAATAAAAGTCTCGGGAATGAATTGGTCTAATGTCCACCCAAGGAGGACAATTGTGCGACTGAAGTAGATGCCTATCTCCACAGCTCCGGGGTGGGGGAGCTGGCAGAGTTACAGCATCAGTCGGGAGCACGTAAGCAACAGTAGCGTGAACCGCTTGATCACAACCATTGTAGAAAAAAGTAACTTATGGAACAACACTTCGGTCGAGTTTGATCCGTTGGTTCGGCTGAAAATCGGTTGCGCAAACACACATACAGACGGCGCCCATCGTACCTTGCTAGCCACGAAACCACTACATTCTGGTTTACTTGATTTGTTTTTTTCCTCCAGCTCCGGTGGGAGAGGTATATGCTCGAACACCATTTGTTCGAAATTGAGAAGCAACTGAGTTCGGTCAAATGCGTCAGCAGACCCCGGTTGTGGCATTGGAAAAGGTGAATTGACTTTATCCAGTTTGCGCTTTATACCCGTAGTGCAGGATGCGTCCGCCGCGTGATCGGACGAGTCTTCCTTACAAATTTCATTCGCAATTTTGGTCACTCGATCCAGTTCTATGGTCGTTTTGTTTCCCGACCAGTTTCGACGAGGTGCCGGGGCTGTGATTGGTTTCTTTTGCTCTGCGGAAGAAAAGGCATATTAAAGGTAATATCTATCTGACATCGTGAGTGGTTATACGCTTAAAAACTATTCGCAATTCACACCAAAAAACAATAAGCATTTGAATAAGCATATTGCTCTACAGATCCGGTAAGTTGGCTAGCGATTTGTACAAAAGTATGATAGTACTCATGTCAGTTAAACAAGGGGATTCGGGAATCTTGCTTGTATGGTGTAGGAATGCATTTCACGAGATACAATTGATATAAGGGACGAACATTTCCGAGTCATTCACAATGAAGAACCTAGAGGCGGTGCTCACGTGTTCGGGTTCAGTCAGGGTGTTTATTGTCATGTAGAAATATCTCAAGGAAGTCGTAAGAGTGGTGACACGGGTCTAAGTTAAGGGCTCGAAAGATTCACTGATATTGAGATCGGCAGTTCGCATATGCTCTACTCGTTATGCAAACTGTCACGACTGTGTTTCTCAACCATTGCTTCCCTATTTCTCGCCAATGTTGTATCCATTCCGAACGTACAACGCGCATAATCGAAAGAAGAGTGAACGATGTTGCTAATCCACAACATATTTTCTTTTTCTCGACCCACCTTGTATACTGAACGATCATGCACCACTCATGGCATCATGTTGTGCTTCATCGCATTTGCGATTGATTAAGGGCAACACCATACTAATAATATCCGACCTATGAACAAAATTTTCACAACGCGGTCCGTCACAGTCAGATGTTGGATCATAACCTGTAGGCGGCATTATGGGAATGTGGCGCTTTTGTATGC